TGGCATCGTCCGTACGTGGAAGAGAAAGCTAATCACACATCGAACATGCGATCAGATATATCAGGCAAGAAATCTTGCAAGTAAGCAACATGTAAATGTGTATCTCAACAGTCACGCGAAAATGCTGCAAGATGCATTTACATCTGCTTTGCTTTAAATCTTCAACATCCAGAATAATAGGAACTGCACTGCGAGACATCGCAATTCGAGTATAATTCATTTATATCCTTATAATGAATGTGATTTTCTTTATTTTCTTTACTAACGCAGACCTCGATTGCTTTACGATCAAGCGTAATTCATTATTCTGGATCGTCCTTAATGCGTTGTAGCCTAGGCTGCGTCTGTTCTAGGTCTGTCTTAACTTGAAAGCAAATCGACATATAGCATCAGTACAGCTTTTGTGAGATTATGTATTTCGTTCCATTTTTGTATTGTAACAATTTCATGTGCGTTAATTGCACAGCTTTGGAGATTAAAAGAGACAGACAAGCACAAACACACAGTAGCGCGTCATAAGTGTACCGGGTGTTTCTATAGATTAGAGTCGAGTTCTAAAGTTATTCTAAGATGTGCACAGTTTTCCTTGAAACACATGAATTATGGCTTTTTTTTTTAATTATTGCGATAGGTATTAACGTCTAGGAAAGAGTAATCGATAAACACCCGGTAATATTGATATGGGCTAATACTATTAGGGGCACTAGGCACGAGGCTGGGAGGATAGCTAAAGCCCACACAAAGCAATCGAAGGATAGTTTAGGCTGTCTTATCTTCAGAAGAGCCAGTGCATCTATTACGTATATTAAATCGTAGTTTTTAAAATGTTAATCCTGTTCAACAGGCTAGAGCTACCTCGCTGCAGAGCTGTGTTATGGTTATCCGTATAATGCGCGACCTGTGTAATCGTGTGCCAACATGGGGTCCGTTAAATCCTTGGGTTAGTATACGCGACATATTAATTACACCCATTAATTACTCGCTTGTTCTCACGATTTTTCAATTCTCGAAAAACTCGTTTTTCAATATATACAGGCATTGGAATTATTGACTGAGAAAGTGATTAGCACCGCGGGAGGTCCCCTTAGTCCGGGTGAAGCCTTAAGAAGACTTCTGGAATGCGTAGCTGGAGGAATATTGTTACCGGGTAGTCCAGGTAATTTCTAAAATTTATTTTGTCATATCATGTTTCGATATTTTAATTTCCTTTCTCCAAATGATGAAAAAGATGACGAGACTGAGCGTATTGTGGAGCTGGTTTTTGAACTCGAGTACAAGTACTTTGTTCTCCTGTATCATAATCATATTTTCCGCGATACGCGCAGATGATATGGCAATCTGATAAAAATTTTAGCTGTACTGTTGATCGAAAGATAATGTGCTGAAATCAATGTTGATTCATAATCTCTTCGTTTTAGGATTATCCGATCCATGCGAGAAAGAGCCAGTTGACGCAATAGGAAATATGACGTCTCAACAGAGAGAAGATATTACTTCGTCGGCGCAGCACGCTTTACGATTAGTGGCATTCCGCCAGATTCACAAAGTCCTAGGTATGGAGCAATTGCCGCCGCCGAAATTCAAGGGACGATTCGCTCGAAAACGAAGACGCGATAACAGCAACGGAGAAGGTACCGATAGCGAGGCTTCGAAGAAGGATAAAAAGGCGGAAGAGATCAAAATGGAAACAGATTCCAAGTAGAAGATCTACCAAAAGATTCGTATTTGCAATACGAATTATCTATTAACTTATCTAGTATAAGGAAACAGTTTCTTTTCCGCCGTGTCAGTTGCTTGTTTAGGAGGAGAGATGTCTTCGGATAAGGACAATTTGAAACTAGGCTGATGCTTGTCATGATTTTTAGAATATGCGTAATCTGAGAAATGGTAAGATTATAAAAAGATATAAGACGCGTTTATTAAACTGCAATAGCGGGCGCTCTTTGACTCTACGTCTCTATTGTGAGTCGTTTACTTTATGGCAATGGATTTATTTCCTACGATGTATTTAATCTGTAATAAGCGTGTCACAAAACGAAGATAGTTATTATTTAAAAAAAGCTTGAGTTGACCGCTAATTTTTTCAGACTGATACGATTTTGTTAATTCTGATATTAGATTTGTCTCGACGAAACTGACGGACGCATTCACAGAATTTGAATCAGCTAGGCTGATTAACCATTTATTGGTTTTGAAAGATACACAAACGAGAAGAACCTAAATGAACGTGTGGTAAGACGACGACGAACGTTTATAAGTTTGAAGTTAAAGAGTAGGCAATAGATTGTATTGAGATTTTGTGTGTATGTTGTGTGTGTAGTCAGTACGTGTAGGAAATACTATATCCTTTCTCTCCTCTCTCTCTCTCTCTCTCACTTGTGCACAAAGTGACAACCATTTACGATATATGCTATTGTCACATATGTGACTCACGCAGAAAATAGCGCCAATATATTTATAACTCGATGATTTGGATGCTTGATGATTATCCAATGCGGAGAAAGTGCACGTGTTAACATTTTTTTTAACACACAATATTATAAATTAGTTTCATTTACAGAATTTCAAGCGACCCAGTCGAGTTAAAACTTTGACGGTTCAATTTTTAGACATTACCTCCTCATTTAAGTGAATTTATTCTGACTTATGTAGACTTTCTGTTTTTTTGAATGATCATTGAATAAAACAAACATGTGTACGACGCAACTGTGAACTTGTTGGTACTTCTGACTGAAAGAATTGATAGTTACCTTGATATTATTGTTCCTTTCCTTTTCCAACTTCAATATTTTATTTACGAAAAAGTTAAGTAATATGTACGAAGTAATTCGAATTTAAAGATAAAAGCCAATAGTGTGTACGCGCAATTTATTTTTTAGTTATTGTTTTTCGAACCTGCAAGTCGATTGTGTATCTAAAATAAAATAAAAATTACAAAAGCAAGCAAAATAATCTCTCATCAGAATATTTATAATTTCATTAGTCGACACTTGATGAGTTATTCACTTCTGTAATTTTTATCTCGTTTCGAGATACACATCGACTCTGAAGTATCTTTAAGTATATATATATATTTTTTTTTTAGTATTCTTCGCTGATAGTCATACGCCAGTTTTATAGAATTCTTACGTCAAACTTTGGTCAAATTTTACAAGAGAAAACCATTCTTTGAAAAGCATGTTTTTTTTACTTCGGAAACAAAATACGAACGTTCTGCGAAAATCTTAATATATGATCTATAATATCTATATCGTATTATCTACCTTGTTTCTACCTTATTTTCGTGCGCGGTAGGTATTGCGTCAGTCTGCGAGTCATTGAAATTGCGACGTTATGCTTATGACTCGGCAATTCTGCGAATTAAATTTTGCGAGGTCGATTTGTACAATGAAAAGCGAAAATAGAAATCTTCTAGATAAAGAAAAAATACCCGAACAACATGAACGTTCGGTGAGCATCTCGGCATCCATCGAAACCGTTTCGTTCCTGAATATTTATTATTAATAAAGGAGTAATGCATCGTGACACAAATATCTTTTGACAAGGACATTTTTTAATAATCAACTTATATTTAGGAAATGCATCATTTTGCGTCATATCAACGTCGTACATATATATTTAGAGAAGGAATATTGTCGGGGATATAAACGTGAGCATCGTTTTTGAAAGCTGAGCTCAAACAGGAAATTATAACTGTTTCGGTTTCTGATAAATGGGGACAGATGTATGTACAGGGTGCTGTAAAATCAATCGTCTTCCATTATTAATCCATTAAAATTGGGATAAAAAACGCAAATTCTAAACAGCAATTAAAACTTAATTTTTGTAATTATCAGAAATATTGATAAATAATAGCCTTAAATGTGCTCGCAAATGCTTGCTCTCTCAATCTTCTGTTAAACATTACACGTTCAATATTCACGAAATGATTTGTCCGCACTTTTCGATCACGTACTTGTGGTCTATGAAATCTTAAATCGATGAATTGGTCTTTAAATTATGTACGCAATTTAAACCCTCGATTCTCGGATCGTCGACAAAATTCGCCAATAACTGAATTATTAATAATTAAATTGTTATTTCTGGCGTATATACGTTAATTAGGTCATTTTCGGAATATATCTTCGTTTAAAATATGCTTTATATTCTTTCATAGCCCATCAAAAATATATGATACCTTAAAATGAGGCAATTTATTTTGCAGCGTTCTGTACATAATATATAACACTAGAATTACGGAGAACCTGAGAGAATGATGCAGAATATAAGACGTCTAAACTCTCGAACATTCTGCATGATCTGTGTAAGGGGCTCCTCACAATAAAAGGAACAGAGAACAGAATAAGAATTTCAACCTACCAGAAACTGTGTATTCCACAATACATGATTTCTGATAGGTTGAAATTTTTATTCTCTATTCTTTGTTCCCTGTTCCTTTTATTGTGCGAAGCCCCTAATTCTGTCTGACGCAGCCTTCGCGTTAGCGTATCAACTTGGCAACAATGGCGACAAAGAATATTCTAGATCAAGTCTAAAGTGTTCTTTGTTGCCATTGTTGCCAAGTCGATACGCGAGATCTGCGTCAGTCCGTATATCCCACGTCATATCGATTAGTGACGTACGCAGCCAGCGAGCCAATCAGCGTCGTCGTCGACGCTCTTCAGCCAATCGGATACGAGCATGCGTCATTCGCAGTTATATGTGAATTTCGTGGTATAAAAGCAAGGCTTGCGACGCTTGCATTTCAATAGTCACTGTGAATTTGAGCAGAGAAGAGTGTTTATTCTACGACAGTTGTGAAGTCGTCTTGCGTGAAAATTACACATAGCGAGAAGCTTTCAAACAAAAGGTATGTTCATTATACTTCTCGATATACTAATTCTTGGTTTTGAAATTTTTGCCCTTGGCCGAAAAGTCAATTTATTCGGATTATATGCATACATTATCGATCGTTTCGAGCCTATTGTCTCTGTTGCTAGGCGGAATAGATTTTGATTGGCGTTTTTTTTATTGAATCAGTACATTCCGAAATCTAATCGAAAAATCGTTTTGTATCTGCATCAGCGTGAGAGGCATGTAGGAAATGAGCAAAAAGCTGTAGAATTAATCCAATATCTGTCATTACGTTTTCTCCGAGTAATATGGCGTCATACGCTTGGTAATGAGCAAAGACGAGCAACTAAAACCAACCAAAATGGCGGCCCTTGATTTTACTGCGTCATGTAAGCAGCTTTGATCTGCAAACAGCCAGCTTTTTCAATTTCGTGATTAATATAACTTTGTGTACGGCTTATCTGTAAAGCTGAATGCGGTTTATCCTTTTTTTAAAATCTGCCTACATCTATACTTGTATAACTTATCCATGTCCTCCGAAGTGTCCTCATTTTGTAAATAATTAGAATCGATTTATTTAGATAATATTTTATATACATATATGTATATATATATATATATATATATATATATATATGTATGATTGAAAGATAACCGTCTATATAACGTGAAATTTTATTGTAGAGCACCATGCAGATTTTCGTGAAGACATTGACCGGGAAGACCATAACTCTTGAAGTTGAGGCTTCTGACACCATCGAGAACGTAAAAGCAAAGATCCAGGATAAGGAAGGCATCCCACCTGATCAGCAGCGTTTGATCTTTGCTGGAAAGCAACTGGAAGACGGACGTACTTTGTCTGATTACAATATTCAGAAGGAATCTACTCTCCATTTGGTCCTCAGATTGCGTGGTGGAATGCAGATTTTCGTCAAAACCCTGACAGGAAAGACCATCACGTTGGAAGTTGAGGCGTCGGACACGATCGAGAATGTCAAGGCCAAAATTCAAGACAAAGAAGGAATCCCCCCGGATCAGCAGAGATTGATCTTCGCTGGAAAACAACTTGAAGACGGTCGCACACTTTCTGACTACAACATTCAGAAAGAATCCACATTGCATCTGGTCCTTCGTTTACGTGGTGGAATGCAAATTTTCGTCAAAACCCTGACAGGAAAGACGATCACGTTGGAAGTTGAGGCGTCAGACACGATCGAGAATGTCAAGGCCAAAATTCAAGACAAAGAAGGAATCCCCCCAGATCAGCAGAGATTGATCTTCGCTGGAAAACAACTTGAAGACGGTCGCACACTTTCTGACTACAACATTCAGAAAGAATCCACATTGCATTTGGTTCTCCGTTTACGTGGTGGTATGCAAATTTTCGTCAAAACATTAACAGGAAAGACCATCACGTTGGAAGTTGAGGCATCAGACACTATCGAAAATGTCAAAGCCAAAATTCAGGACAAAGAAGGAATCCCACCGGACCAGCAGAGATTAATTTTCGCCGGAAAACAGCTCGAAGATGGCCGCACTCTTTCTGACTACAACATTCAAAAAGAATCCACGTTGCATTTGGTTTTGAGGCTTCGCGGTGGTATGCAAATTTTTGTCAAAACGCTTACCGGTAAAACAATCACTCTGGAAGTCGAAGCATCGGACACGATTGAGAATGTCAAAGCCAAAATTCAAGACAAAGAAGGAATCCCTCCGGACCAGCAGAGATTGATCTTCGCCGGAAAACAACTTGAAGACGGTCGCACACTTTCTGACTATAACATTCAGAAGGAATCTACCTTGCATTTGGTTCTCCGTTTACGTGGTGGTATGCAAATTTTCGTCAAGACATTGACAGGAAAGACCATCACATTGGAAGTTGAGGCGTCGGACACGATTGAGAATGTCAAAGCCAAAATTCAGGACAAGGAAGGAATCCCTCCAGATCAGCAGAGGTTGATCTTTGCTGGAAAACAGCTTGAAGACGGCCGTACACTTTCTGATTACAACATTCAGAAGGAATCCACCTTGCATTTGGTTTTAAGGCTTCGCGGCGGTATGCAGATTTTTGTCAAAACTCTTACTGGTAAAACTATCACATTGGAGGTCGAGGCTTCAGACACGATCGAGAATGTCAAAGCCAAAATTCAGGACAAGGAAGGAATCCCTCCGGACCAGCAGAGGTTGATCTTCGCCGGAAAACAACTTGAAGACGGTCGTACACTTTCTGACTACAATATTCAAAAGGAATCCACATTGCATTTGGTTTTGAGGCTTCGCGGCGGTATGCAGATTTTTGTCAAAACTCTCACTGGTAAAACTATCACGCTGGAGGTCGAGGCTTCAGACACGATCGAAAACGTAAAGGCGAAAATTCAAGATAAAGAAGGCATTCCTCCCGATCAACAAAGACTGATTTTCGCGGGCAAGCAGCTAGAGGATGGACGGACTTTATCCGACTATAATATTCAGAAAGAGTCTACACTTCACCTTGTACTTCGACTTAGAGGCGGAGATGTCTGATTCCATTGTGATCTCTACTAAAAAGCGTCGCATTATATTAAATCGTTTAATTATATTATAAATTCTATTACCTGAGTTTTTAATTTTATTAATTCGCCCATGCAAATCTTTCGTAGGAAATGATGAATAAAGAAATTAATTTTACATGCTATAATAATGTCTTGTTTTTTATAATTATCGGATTCCTTATAATAAAACTATCAATAATAAAATATTAACATTGTGTTTATATTATCTAAAATTTTCTTGAATCTGTTTATTATTTGTATAGATTGAACTTGTTTAATTATTTCTAATAAGAGAACTTTACATAATCTTTAGTCTTTTTAACGAGAGCATATAAACGAATAAATAATTTAACAAAGTAGTGAACATTTATACTTATGGCTGTTCAATTGAACTTCTATTGTTGAGATTTTTCTTTCTTTTATTCCAATGTGAAGAAAAAGTAAGCTGAATAATGCAAGAAGTTCAACTGAAAAGAATAGACTATATATCTTTCTTTTCACGATAAAAGAGTTGCTTATTTAATCTTCATTTTGAAATAAATACACTTGTCAACAACTTGTAAAAACTATCTGAAAGACATTCGTAATGGCAAATTTTTCATGAAAACTTTCCTTTATTACTAACTGATGGCGCCACTAGGTCTTCTTTTCGTGATCGCGTGAGAATGACTGATCCGCACTGTCTGCGCTTATTGTTAGCAAATTCACGGACTCGATATATTGCTGACACTCGTGTACATTTATACAGTATTCAATTACACATGCATTACGTTTTTCTTCTGAAAAATTTAAAACATAGTATTTTTAAATCAATTTGAGATTTTAGAAATTAGAAAATATAATTTTATAAAAATAATTTAAACTTGAGTTTTACAAAATATAAAATAATTGTATCAATATAACGAAATTTTTCATTTTAACAATCGTATTTTTGCAAATAGACTTTTAACAAAAGAAATTTTTGATAAATAAAAAACATTTTTTTTCTTATCTAAAATCAATAATTTCATAAAAAATCGTTTGTACACGAAAATTAGCAGTTCAATTTTTATAAGAATTTATTTTTATAATAGAAGAATTTTTATTCTAAAAAATTAGTTTCTCTTAAAAAGTATTCAATATAATATTGTAAGAGAAGTTGTTGAGGAGAATTTTATTAATTCAATTTTTTTAAATATATTTTTATTTAGAATGAATCTGTTTTTGCACATAAAAAGACGCATGATAATTACTCTTACATAAAATCATTCAATAATAATAATATTAAAAATTCTTTATAGAAAAAATTAACAGTTTAATTATAATTTAATTTTTATATGCATATTTTTACTTATAATGGAAGAAATATTTTTATAAATAAAAATATAGATGATTTCAATTATATAAAAACTACTTAATAATATCGTGACACAAAAAGTAATTCAATAGAGAAGATAAGAATAAATACTTTATTTGAAAGAATCGAAAGTTCGTTATCGGTACAGATCTCATCTTATTTCCGTGGACGAAATAAAAGCGATCGTCATAATTGTTACCGTTGTTGCGTTCTACAATTATTTGTGGCGCGCGTGTTCGGGTGCAGTGAGTAATGAATTAAAATTTTCGCGCGCCAGTGAGATACAAAAGTATTTTTTTTTTAACGCGGAATTCAATAACCATCCACAGTAAAAAACATGTAATTTTACTGATAACATATTTTTCTACCGCACTCGTCCTTTTCAATCTTTCGAAAAACATAGTTGTACGATAACTATCGTTGCGAAAATTCACGTATTGGAAGGCAACTAAAAAATGTGTTATTTTTATTTGTCTATTTTACGCTAATAATTTATTTGTGTTACTTTCAAAATTATTTTTTATTATAGTTATAAAAAAATCCTTATAAAATAATTGAAACGATAATAATAGAAACCCAAGCAGAACAACAAGTCATTATGATGTCAAAATGATTCCAAAATGATCATTAAAAGTCATTTATCAATCATTTCCGATTCATTTTAATATCATTTTGACATTATCGTAACTTGTTGTTCTGCTTTGGAAGTAGTTTAAATTACAGCGCATAGAATTAGTGCAAAATGTAATATAAAATAATATATATATATTTTATATAACATAGTACATATAATAATTTAGTTAGATTTTAGAATAAGCCTTATTCTAAGACTAATAGAGTCACGTTAATGCTTTTCGGGAATCTATTCTTTTTTAGAGAGAGAAGAAATTAGAATTTTGCCTAATATTCTTTCACGCTGATTGGCGCAATTTTAATTTTTCGGATCTATGAAGCCCCTGATGCGGATGACCCTCTTCATGGAATATCACGCTTCCCAATTTCCTCTTTTGATAAAACTTGAACGAATCAAGTCCACGACAGTCATTCTATACCGATGATTTAATTTTCGCTTTAACGATCCCGCTTTCGGATGGATACACGCGACACACATCGATCATCCGTACACGCGAGCGTGTGTCACACTTGTGTGTGCGCGCGTATATTTATGTGTACGGCTAATGATGGAAGAAAACGTTATCCACAGGGAGGGCGGGCGAGTCCGTGTACCATACCCAGTACGCCTTGTACCTTAGGTAGGGCTGAGAGAACTCGAAGAGAGAACCACGGACTCAGTCTAACTCGGTCCTCGAACTGGTCCCGTGTGCTTGGCGTGCAGCGTGTAACCGGCGTCAGTCACAGCATCCGCGTGGTACTCGCCGCGTTGCCGCTTCCCTGACGACGCGAGATAAGCTTCCCCCAACACCGTTGGGCACAACAGTGCGGTACACTCCGCGTCGTTCCGTAAAAGCGAGCTTCGTGCAGGAGACAGTCGAAAGTTTTATTCCATCCCTTGGCGATTCCATGAAAGAACTAAATTCTCATCATATTAAAGTATCTTTGTAGGAAAACGCAGACGTACCACAAAAAAAAGATTTATACCATACAATTTAAATTAACTTTTTATCAACATTTTTTATAAAAAATAAATTAAAATGTTTTCACGCTAAATTTCAATCACTTTCCAGCAAACGCAAGTCCGTGGTTCTCTCTTTGACCAACTAATATTACATTAATGTTATAATTTTCCATTCGATAATATAATTATAATTATATTACAATATATTTATTGTTGTCGAGGAGGAATTAAATTTTACCAGTAATGTAATGTTGGTTTGCATTTGCCAACTAATAGTAATATTACAGCAATGTTATAATTTTCTATTCAGTAATATAACTGTTACGTACAATACGCGTTATATTATATTTATGTTGTTGAGTAGGAATTAAATTATGTCAGTAATGTAATATTATGGTTAGTTTCCATTTGTGTGCCGGGTTCTTACTTACTTCTCGAAAAATAGACTTCGGAAGTACGCGTTAGCGGACATTCAACTCTCCTTCACCGTTACGATGCTATAAAAAGAAACGTCCAAATTTATATCGTCGAAATAACTACGCACAAAAATCTGTGTATAAACGTTTTTATCTTTGTCCAACCGGTTTATCTAATGATTCGTATAAAATCAGTAGGGAGACAAGGCGAGCGGTAATTTAAAGAAAAACAGGAAAAGGGTTGTGAAGGGAACCGGATTTTTTCCTTCCTGCATTAAGTTGGGCTGATAATGAGACAGCGGAAACGTTAAAGTATCGTCGATACGAGATTGAAGCGAGCTGGTGTTGCACGAGACAACAGATCCATCAGTGAAGATGAGTGGCTTGGCGGTTTGTTTGATACTCCTCTCGACGGTGCCGGGTAAGTTGCGAGATACGTCAGAAATGCCTATTAACTGAAGGTATCCTTAACTTCTTGAGTTCTAATCACGCACCTCTCGTGACATTGTGAAGATTATTGTTATATCCGGATGAGAAAGCACAGTCGAGTTTAGAATATCGGAAAAATATTAATTCCTGGTAAACATCAAGCAACAATATGACATTTCACATCAATATTATAATTTCCTAATCACGATATAAATGTTATGCACAACATGTGTTTATATTACCTACATTTATGTTGTTGAGTGGGAAATTATTAATATTATTATAATGTTACACTCTGTAGTTTATGTTTACCATGTTAAACGTATCAAAAATATAATCATACAAAAAATCATTATTAAATTATTATTTGATGAAGATCGATTTCTTAAATTTTACATATTTGAAAAGAAACTCGTGTCCGCGAAGGAAAGTAAATTTTTTCAGCCGTTTCAAGGAAAAGAAGTATATTCTTCGCTTTCAAATGAAGTACAAATTGTATTAGTAATAACTGAGAACAACTCTTCGCGCTTTATTCACTGAACGTTCAAGGAAACTCGAGATATTGAAGAAGACTTTATCTCACGTTTGCATAAAATTAAATTTTCACAATTGCCGTTCGACTGTTATTTGACTGTTATCAATTACAGTCGACCAGCATAATGGAAGTGAAACGGAGAACCCAAATTCCAATTAAACGCCACTTGCAGAATCGCCAAAATGAACATATACAAATACAATATAACAGGCGTATTTGACGCAGAATGATTTTGTATCAAAAATAAAATAAATAAAAAAAACAAATAGCTATTTACATAACTATTGAGTTTGCTGTGGAAAAAGTAGCGGATTTGGTTTATAGAATAATAATAAAATTTATATTTTAACATACACACATATTTCTCTCTCTTCCTCTTTTGATTGAAAATGTTCGTGAAAATATAAATTAAAAAAATATATGTACAAAAGTATTAATAAATTGATGATGTAAATTTTATTGCATTTTGCCCGCGAATATATATAATACATTCTATATCGAAGCCTTTTACCGATGAAGGACCCGTACAGAAATTAAACTCCAGAAATAGGAACAAAAACGTTCCATGAATCGTTAAATACGCTTCTGCGTCGTGTTCAACTCGCATTCATAAATTTGCTGTTCTTTTTCTTGCCGCATATTGTCTGACTGTAATATACAGCGTCGACCTTACCACCGCCGATTCTCGTACGCAAAGCAACGAATATAAACCACACGAGTTCGCGATGTCCTACAACACCGGCCTTCGTCCATTAATTCTTCGCTCAGTTCGATGTCCGTTAAAATAAAAGAGCACCGATTTTTTTTCGTCTTTAACATTTTCAATGAAGTCACGAATTCGGGTCAATTCTAAAG